TAAACTAGCTCCTCCTATAAGTGAATAGAATTTTACACATCCTTAAAGCACGCCCCTGGGATCTAGATAGTAGAACCTTTACAATATCTACTTTTTTGATTCTATATTAAAAAATATAGTATATTAGAAACAATAAAAAAAGCAGCAATAAATGTAGTCGCAAATAAAATTCAAAAAGAAGAATCCAGTACCCGAAATAATCCAAAAAAGAATGAAAAATCTAACAGTGCTAAGAGATGTTTGTCAATATGGAAAAATTTTTACCAAAAGGCAACAACAGTTTAGCCAACTGGTACTTTATGTTCACGAGCAATTGTAGAAGTTCAGAGATACTTAGAAAAATAACTATTAAATGGAGAAGAATAGATTCATTAATTTGGTGAAAAAAGCATTCATACAATTACCCCTTTTTATCGAAGGTCGTTATTGAAAAACTAGGTACATTTGCTACTTTTGTATTATGTGAGCGAATGTTTTCAAAAACAGGGCAGATTCTAACAGATCGAAGATGACGCTAAAGTGCTGAAAAAGTCAAACAAAATTTTATTTTAGGATGTTATGTCACAGTTCCTTTTGTTTAATTTTTATTTTACATTTCCATTTGCTATCTTTTTTATTTATTTATTTTATAGTACCTACCATTTTCTACCTTTATATAATTAATTTGTAAGCATATTGGAATTTTTATGTCAACAATTTTAGTAATTAGAACTTTAGGCATGTTTGTGTTATTTTATAAATATGTTATTGTAAAGAATGTTCTTGTTTTGTTTTTATATTCGATTGTTAAGAATTTTCTTGTTTTTTAAATGTGACTATAAGTATCAGTTTTTAAATATTACATTAAATTTGTTAAACATGTTTATCTTTTTTTGTATTAAAGCTGTTTCTAACCTACCTTAAAAGTTTAATTTATTATATCATTAAACCTATTAAACAATTACTCATGCTTTTTACAAGTTTTTTTTTATATAAACAGATAAACAATAAACAAGGAACCATCAACCATACTTTTCATTCTTCTTCTTTTTATTTTATATTTGAACTTCTGATGTCATGTTTTTTATATGTCAATAACAAACACCTTTTCGGTGAGACATGGCGCGGGACGTGTGCTGAGAACTTTCGCGCGTAATTTTTTGTGACTGACGAATTCAGGTATGTTCTTCTTTTTATAAATTATACATTATTTTTCACATCTACGTCCTTCTATGATATTTGGTAGATACACCTTATTGTGAATCATGCACAGCCCCTACAGCTGGCCCCTGATAACGTATTGTATCGTAGTCAGTTCATTTTGTTGTGCCTTCAAATAAAGAGTGTGTATCAGTTTAGTGCAAAATGACAAAAAATCAACGAAAAAAAAAATGTATGAGGAATTTAAGTATTTAAAGAATAAGTTAGCTAGAATGGAAAAAGTTTTGGGTTCCAGTAGCTCTCCCTCGGAAAATGGCGAATCCGAAGGTTAGTTGTTTCTTTTTTTGGGACTTATATTAACTAGAAGTTTTACAGTTATACAGGGTGTAGTTCGTTTTGACTACAAATGCCTGCATATATTTATCTGCAACAAACTACTGCTAAATAAACAATAAGGGGTAGTTATTTTGACTACGATAACCCGCAGATTCTTGTCTGCAAAAATTAGCAAAAGTTTACAAAAATGTAGATTTCTTGACAAAAACCTAATACAGTTACATTTGTAACAAAACAAATTCAATAAAAAAAAAATATATCTTCTCTATTTTTCAAATAAATTCAATCTGTTCATCTTCGGACAATCGTGAAGAAGCTATACGAGCTTTAGGTCAGGTTACTGACAATCCAATCCAGGAGGTGCCTGTTACTGTTCCCTCTTTTCTGAGATGAACTCCAAATATGTTAACTCGAGTGGGTCCAAAACTACACGAAGAGTTAGTAGCGCAGTGGATGATTTACCTAAGAGAGGGCATGTCTAGTGAAACTATAAAAGAACTCGTCAAAAAGTTTCAAATTCCTTAAAATTGTACGGCGCTTTTATCGCCCAAAATGAATGAAGAGATTAAATCAATTTTATCTGTTCAAATTCAAAAGAATGATACATTTTTATCTAAACTGCAGGAACAAATCGTAGCTGGACTGGCCGTATCGGTCAAATTTTAAATTTAAAAATTATGGAACCTCACTCCGATATAACTTTGGATGATGATAAATTACAAAAGTAAGCAGACGCTGCACAAATATTTGCCAGCACACATCACGCTTATTAATGATTTTGTATTTGGATATAGCTTTATGGAGAAGCTGAAATCTTGTCAGAGTGTCAAGAAAGCAGCCCATGAAATTAAAAAACCCAGAAAAATTTTCAATCCCATTTCGGTTCCTTCTGGCTCACAGTGTTTAAACTACAAGCGACCACAGTTCAAGAAGACGATGAAAGAGAGGGGGAGAGACCAAATAACGGCGAAGGATCAACAATCGCGAAAGAGAACCATGGACATGACAGGAGAGCGCAATCGCCGCGAATTTTCCAAATACCACCATTCGAGAGCCCGAAAATAAAGGTAGAGTTTCCTGCGGGAAGACTGCAATATTTTAAGTCTAGATGGCAGAGAATGCCTCAGAATTCCAGTATTTCACAGTGGACACAGGGTATTAAAATTTAATTTTCCGAAAAACCACGACAATTGGTTAAACACAATTTACTACCTATTACATCTAAACAATATTTCAATCTATAACGAAGAAATAAATAAATTTTTATTTTTTTATTAAGAAACATGATAACAGTTACCGTTTTATTCTAAATCTAAAAAAACTAAATAATTTCATGCCTGTAAAACATTTTAAACTAGAGGATTACAGAGCTGCTATTAGACTCATTTCAAAATTTAGATTTAGAAGATGCATGTTTTCTTCTACCCATAGATAGAAAATACTTGAGATTTCAGTTTCAAAATTCATTATATGAGTTTAACTACCTTCCTTTTGGGCTAAATATAGCACCCTATATATTTACAAAGTTGCTAAAACCAGTTATTAGATATTTAAGAAAACAAGGTGTAAAATTAGTTATATACCTGGATGATATACTTATTATTAGCAACGATTATGTCGAATGTTTAAATTTTTAAAAATTACCAAAAATTTATTAGAATTTTTAGGCATTTTAGTAAATTTAAAAAAAAAAGTGTGGTTTTGCCTTCGAATAAAATTGAGTTTTTGGGATGTTTATTTAATTCTCAATCTTTAGAGATTAAGCTTCCAGAAAGGAAACATAAGTTAATTAAACAGGGGGCTTGGGACCCACTTTAAATACAAGCTATTTTAGAAGCTGTAAATAATTGTAGAAAGTAGCAAGATCATTCATGCCTCCAAAGTCTTCAATAAGAGACAGATTAAAAAGATACGACTAGTATGACCCTCGACTTGGCCGGATGGCAATATTTTCAAAAAAAGATGAAAAGGAATTAGCTGAGCACATTATTACGTTGGCTAAAACATTTTTTGGAATCACACAACAGCTACTAAAACTAGCTTATGAGTTCGTGGTTGGAAAGAATATTAAAAACATTTTTTCAACAGAGAAAGGCTGGAAACAAATTCTGGGTGTAAGCGTTCTTAAAAAGAAATCCCTGGATCTCTTTACGACTTCCGGAGCCAACAAGCATCACCAGAGTGTTGGGTTTTAATAAAAATTAACTAACATTGTTTTTCGCCATCTAAAAGAAATTACAGAGGATAATGCCAAAATATTTAATGTTGATGAAGCCATTTCAACTGTTCAAAGGCCTGGAAAAATATATGCGTCTAAAGAAATTAAGCAAGTTGACAAAATTACAAGCGGCGATCGTGGGCAAAATATCACTGTTTTCTGTGCCATAAATGCAGTGGAAAAAATAGTGCAGACAATTTTATTTGCGCCTTCTGTTAAAATAGATATTAGCAATATAATTATCTAAAGTAGCCCTTGGCCCTTCTGTCACTGAGAAGCCCCGCTCCGGACAACCATCGTTAATAGAATCAACAAGTATATCAAGTAAGATTAATCCGTATTTTACTTTTGAGAGCACCTATCTGCACCCAGTTGCTTCACCTGTTTGCTACAAGTCTTGCACGAAGCTTGTGTGTTTACTTGAGCCTTAGGTGCATAAACATTTGCATTTATTCTAGCAAAACTTATTTCTACCACCTGTTTAATAATAAAGTGACACTGCACTTTGCTTTCTCACTAGAAAAAGTATTCGACTACTGGGCTTTGGTGCAAACATCGTAGACACGATTCAAATAAATTACCCATGTTTTGCACCTGTGTAAACTAGCTAGAGGTACAAGTGCCATTCATGTATATGAAATTATTCATTTAACTTGTAAACCGGAAGTATACTCTTGGTCCCGTTAATTTTCATTCTTGTAAATACTTTTTAAGACATTATTGAGTCAAACATAAAACCAATCACATGCCTAGTCATCAGCGACTTGGTTTGTATTAAACCTACAAATTTTAATTCAGTGTTTTACTTATTTTTTTCTTTACTCAGCCACTCTCAGCTGAAAACCAGGCATATTCTAGCTAAAATAAACCCCTTCTTGTGTAACCTAAGCCATCCGCCACCTTGAGTCGGGGCCCGCGCATATATAACATAAAATAATCAATTTGTTTATTTTTATAATTTTTTAGAAAGTGATTCTTAAATAAAAATATAACTTACTATTAGTGAACTAAAAAATAAAAAAAGGGTCGGTTTAGATAATTTGAAAGCTAAAGTGATTAAAAAAGTGACACTTTATATAATTGAACCACTCAAATACATATAAAACAAAAGTAGTGTTTTAAATATTCGGTTGTTCCTCCGTTATATAAAAAAGGACATGTTACTGAGCCCTCTAATTATCGACCGATATAATTAATAACAAATTTATATCTATTTAAATAAATATAAAATCCTTTCCAATAGTCAGTATGGTTTCAGAAAACAAAGATCAACTGAAGATGCTATATCAACACTAACATCTAAAATTACAGAATCTTTAAATTTTACTCGCCCAAGTCTGTGTGTTTTTATAGATTTGTCAAAGGCATTTGACAGCGTAATCCATCAACTTCTTTTATAATCCTTGCACGACATCGGAATTAGAGGAAATACCCTAAATTTATTCGAAAGTTATTTAAAAAACCGATTCCAGATTGTAAGAATAGGTGATGCGCTCAGTGTGCCAAAACAAATAGAATTTGGTGTACCACAGTGGTCGGTACTAGGACCGACGCTCTTTATTATTTATATTAACGAGTTGTTTTCATTAGAAACCAAAGGTAATATTATAGGATTTGCGGATGACACGACCATCTACTACGATCATGAAGACTGGTATTCTTTGAAAAATAAAGTAGAGCAGGATTTTATCCTTATTCAAAATTGCTAACAGTTAATGTAGAAAAAACTAATAACCTACCGTTTAGCTACAACTCCACTAGTATTACTCAAATAAAAATTAATATTAACACCGAAATATTTACCATTTTACCTAAAACACAAATTAAATATCTAGGAATTATTATTGATCCTCATCTAAGATGAGACATATATTTCACATAATCTAAATAAACTGAGAACGACTTTATATAGATTTAGGTTTATAAAATCATTGTTACCTCTGAAACACCTAAAAATATTATATTTCTCACTTGTTGAAACCCATCTTCTTTATGCGAATACAGCTTGGGGAGCTTTAAAAACGCACATACATCCACTTGAAGTAATTCAGCGTAGATTTTTAAAATTAATTTTTGAGGTTAGGTTAGGTTCCACTCCTAGGAGCTGTAAGACCTTACCGTTGGTGGAGTGGTTCAGTAGCTCTAAATGGCCGGTGGGGCACTGGTGGGGTCACTGACGCCGACTGGGTGACACCAATAAGTACCAGTTCAAGAACATTATCCCAGCTAACAAAAGCAAACCGGAAAGTCCGACCCTGAAATGGGAGGTCGAATGGCGAGCTCCCGGCGCCATAAAACGGGGACCCATCGGCTAAGGGAAGGAAAGCCCCGACAGAAAACCAGGATGGAGCAGACCAGTCAGAAAAAAGCCGTAAGCCAAGGTGGAAGCGATCGTGCCGAGGGATGCATGGCCGCACGGACGCGGTCACGAACGATGCCTTCGGGGCACTTGGCGAAACCCCGGAGTAACAAGCCTTAGCGGGGTATGGGAGCACTGCCCCGCCGGACCTTCCTTTCTGCCCGACTCGTGGGAACAATTATGCCTAACATTAAATTTAAACTATGCGTGGTCGACCAGCACGCGGAGGATCCCTCCACATCTGGAGGAACAGACAAAGTGGTGACAGACACAAAAAAGGTAGAAAGCGAAAAACTAAATACAGGTTTAATATTGGAAACAAAGATTCCAAAACATAGTCGGCTGAATATGTTAGGAGGGGAACTCAGGAGATGCAACTCGGTATCATTCCATGACAAGAAAAAAAGAAAAATTATGGAAACTTCCATGATAGACTCTACATTGGATATCTACAAGCAAAGAGAAAGTGTTGAAGCATATATTATAAATGAAGCTATCGAAAGGAACAAGAAACTGGTAGAAACTTTAGAAAAAATTATCGGGGAAATACCAAACACCCATAGAGGGATCAAGGATATCACAAAACAAATGGTACAAAACACCAAGGACTTCGAAAGAGAATGTGTAGTCAAATGGTTGGAAAAACACACTCTCGAGTCCATCGAGAAGTTAACTTTTGACGCGGACACGCAAACTACGAGGCCTCTAAAGAAAGTGGATACAGCCGAAATGGCTACCCAGACAGAACCCTGGCATGGTATGCAACAAAGGGAAACCCTAAAATCGCTGGAGGGAATCGAGGGACTGGAACAATACAGAAGAGTAGAAGGCCTGAGGTAGGAACAGGATTTGTTCAAACAAACAAAAATTATAGTGGGAAACCCACTGACCACAGACGATCAAACCACCAAGGTGGTCCTGATCGAACCGGACGATAAAGAGATGAACACCAGCATACAGAGATTATATTGAGAAAAATTCCCCGAACTTACCCATATCAAGAAAGACATTGAAACTATAGAACAAATAACTAAGGTAAAATCAGAGACGGACGGAGTACAACTGAGCACCAAAAAAATCATCAAGGTTCACAATGACGGCACAACACCAGACATATGGGAGAAATTGCATAAGATTAGGGAAGAGACTCTGATGGATGGAAATGTGGCAATCCATCACATCAATAACACCACTCCAGAGAACCTACAAAAAATGACCGAAACCATCTTCAATAAGACAAATACCAAAGTGGCTATTTACACCACCGCGACCAATAGAGAAGCCGAAAAGACTAGAACGACATATGGAATGATTATTAGCGACGGGGAGAAAATCTATAAGGAAGTTCTAAGCAGGGTCAAGAATATAGTTGGAAAAAACTCATCAGTCAAAGCCATCAGGGAGCTCAGGAGCACAAAAGACGGAAAACTATTACTTACCATAGAGAAAGACCAGACAGCCTTAAAGAATCTACATAATGCCCTGGCAGAAAGCACGACGGGCCTAAAAACAAGGAGGATAGGCATGGAAAAGAGCACGGCATTACACCTCAGAGGGATGGAAGCAGACACCACCCTGGAAGATATTAAACTGTCAATTACAGAAATCATCGGCAAATGGGAAGAGGAAAACAAAATAAGCGAACTCCGTCCACTTAACAATGACACATTAGCGGCAACTATCACACTAAGTGCAAATGATGCAGAAAAAGTTCTAAAAGAAGGTCCCATAAGGATTGGGCTAGTCAAATGTAAGGTGGAAAAGAGACTGAACATTAGGCGATGCCAAAGATGCTGGTCGCACGACCATTATTCTGACGCATGTAACGGCCCGGACAGATCAAAAAACTGCTTTAAATGCGGACAGAGTGACCATAGCTCAAAGGATTGTAAAAAAGAAGAAGCATGTCCATTATGCACTACATCAGGACACAAAATGGGTACCATGAAATGTCCAAAATTCAAATTCGCATTAAAAAATGGCAGACTCGAAGAAAGAAACAAGAATTCCACGGTTACGACGACCTGACAACCCGTTGTAAACAAGCAAATACAAGAAGCGGTGACTAATAACCAGGAGGACTCTTTTGACGCTCATTTCGACAAACTGTTGGATGAGGCTCGTGCCACGGTGACAGAAATGGAAAGTACTGAATCAAACTAGGACAAGTAACAAACACGCATCACTATTAATACCAACCTATCTTACAAGAACTCATCTGTACATATTTCTATCTATTTATCAACTCCTTTATTTCTTTTATATACATACCTATCTTCATACAAATACATATCTCTACCACCTGAAAATATATTTTAACTTTCTACAATGAGATACAAAATACTACAAATTAACACCGGACGTGCTAGGGGGGCACACGACGTTGTCATGGCTATGGCAGACAGACATGATATTGACATAATATTCATGCAGGAACCAAACAAAAAATGTAGTAAACATGGGATTAATCTCAGACACTAGGAATGCTGTAGCAGTATTTATTAGAAACAAAAATGTAGGCATACTCGATCATTTAGGCAAAACTGGATACCTAAAAATAAATATAAATGGAACAACGTTTTATAACTGCTACATCTCACCGAACATCCCAAGAGCAGAATTTGAGGCAAAAGTGGACGAGATTATGGAAGACGTTAGGGGATTACATAACACAAACTACATTATCCTAGGGGACTTCAAGTCGAGACTCTGGTGCCCTAATACAATGGATGAAAGGGGAATATATATCGAACAATGGATGGCCACACTTAGCATGACGGCTCTAAACAACGGCCAAATACCCACTTTTACCAGAGGAACAAGTGAAACCTATATTGACATTGCTCTAGCCTCAGAAAGAGCATTCAGGAAAACACAGGATTGGAAGGCATCACTAGAGGAATCCCTAAGCCTGTACCGCTTCATAATCTTCGAAGTGAATGAAACAGAAATAAGCCAGCAGAGAAAGAGACAGCTATATAGACCCAAACCGCAGATAGACATAGAAAACCTGAGAAACTCACTAGACATACTAAGACATAATATAGGAGAAGTACCAGGAAGACTAGTTAAAGTACTCAAAGGTGCCCAGCAAGCCAGTGAGATCAGACACATAGAAAGTTCCCGACGAAACACACCGTATTGGTGGAACGAAGACCTATCAGCCAGTAGGAAAAACTGCAACATACAAAGAAGGAAACGTACGAGGGCCAGAAGAAATAGAAACCAAAATGCAGAGGAAATGCAAAACCTGCAAAGGACATATAAGGCAGAGAAAACTGCATACAAAAAGGAAATAAATGCGTCAAAAAAGAGTAAATGGAGAGAATTATGTAATGAACTTGAAAACGACGTCTGGGGACAGGGATATAAAATCGCTACAAGGCAAATTAAAAACAAAAACCAATTATACGAATTGTCGAACGAAGAAAAGAGAGGAATTGTCGATGAACTTTTCCCTGACTAGCAACAGGATGGGATAGATTGGGAAATAACGCAAGATCACGGTACCTTTACTATAGAGGATCTAAAAGATGCATCGAAAAAGATTAAAACTGGCAAATCTCCAGGCCCGGATGGCATTACTCCTGAGGTAGTCAAGGTGGCAGTCGCGCAAATACCAACGAAATTACTTAGGGTATTCAATAAAATTGCCAAAACACAGGAATTCCCAATAGCATGGAAGAAAGCCACAGTAGCACTTATCCCTAAAGGGATCGCAAGTTCAGACCCATCTGTATCCTAGATGTACTAGGACAACTCCTAGAACATCTTATCAAAGAAAAAACTGGAGAAAAACATTACGATCTCGAATTCCCAATATGGCTTTAGAAAAGGAAAATCTACCGTTGAGGCAGTCGAAGCAATCATCAGAAGGACGGAACATCATTGGCAAGCTATAGTAAGCCTGGACATTAAAAATGCATTTAACACAGCGAAATGGCACCTGATAAACAGGAAACTAGAAGACAATGACACGCCAAGATGGTTGACAAACCTGATCAAGAGCTACTTCCAGGATAGACGAATAATGTGTTACGGGTCAGAAATTATTCTTACAGATAATTAACTGAAATAATTATAGGGGTTTACTGAATATTAAATAAATAAAAACTCACCTAAATTTGTAAATAATAATCAACAAGATTTATAGTTCTTTTTCCATTTATTAAAATTAACCTATACATATGTATATTGTTTATTTACATGCTAATGTCAAATCTTGACCATGACCTTGTAATAGTTCTTCTCTTCTTTATTAAGGTGTAACTTAATTAATTAGGTCAATAATTAACCTATTTATTGGCAGTTTAGTCATCTTAATCAGATACATCTATTTTATTGGTATCTGAGGTTTTATCTCTCTCTGGGTTCTCTGTCTTTTTCTTTTGGAGGTTGGTTTCTGGGCCATGTGGTCTAATTTAATTTAAAACGAATATTTCGGATTTTCTACCACCCCTGAAAAAGAATTACATCAAAATCATTTAAATAAGTATTGCTTTTAAAAATCAGGACGATTTTTTATTACACACAGTGGATTGGCGATACTTAATAAAAAAAAGGCCCTACCTTATTCGGTAAGTCACCCAGACACAATTAAAATTTGTATGCATCTCTATATCTTGCTTATTTCTGCTTTTAGGCCTAATACGTATAATACGTGTAATACATATAATTCTTATAGTAATTACAGTACTTCCAGTAATTATAGTACTTATATAAGCATATTATTATTGCTATCCCTTCCATTGATATCACCCGCATGGCAAGGTTCTTCTAGGCTTAATACAACTGCTTAGTAGCTGCTTTCTGGCATTTATTTGGAATATCGCAGTGCTGCCTGTGGCCCATCGATAGATCCAGGAGGCTTCGAGAAAGCAAGTAAGATCTTTCCATTTCACTATCTAACTGCTTTAACAAAAACCCGCTGCTTTTCACAAGACCACACACACCTTAAAAGGAAAACAAATATTGAGTTATTATATATCATAAATATTTATTCTAGTGACTATCTAACAATTTACATAAAGATTACAATAAAAGGATATTTGTACTCACCTTCTCCCTGTAAACAAGTAGTACTACTTGGGCTTGAGGGGTATCATTCTGGCTAAGACCCATGTAGTAAATATATACTTTTCACCAAATATTAATTGATATTCTTAGTGATACACCAGATTGTATAAAAGACACGTTGTATATAATATTTCCTGTAAAGTAAGACATAACAGTCATTTGGGTAAGAACGTTAGTAAAAACTTTTGTAAATAGAGTTACCTGATTTAATTTTCCACGTCCCAACTCTCCGGATGAAATATATAACCTGAGCTAGCTTATATAAAATTTCACCCCCTATCAGACGAGGGAGTAACATAATAAATGGTGAAAGTATACAACAAAATAATGACCCAGGGTGTCCCACAGGGCTCCAACCCTGTGGAACATTCTATACGATGAAGTATTGCAACTTCAACTGCCAGTAGACTGCGAAACAGTCGCATATGCGGATGACCTTACCCTGATAGTGCGATCAGGATCAAAAATCGGACTGATGGAGAAGGCAAACACGTCAATAACGCAAATATGCGAATGGATAGACAGGAACGGCCTGCTAGCTACACACAAAACTACTGCAGTCATATTTAGGGGACCCAGAAACAGAGAAGGCATAACTTTTAATGTAAGAAACGATATAATAACACCTATCAAAAGCTCAAAATGTCTCGGAATTTAGATTGACGACAAGCTCATATTTAACGAGCATACGAGAAAAACGGTAGAAAAAGCGGAGAAATCATACACGGCTCTGGCAAGGCTGATGCCAAACATAAGTGGCCCGTCACAACTCAAGAGGGAAGTACTAAGTCAAGTAGTACACTCCATACTCCTATATGGAGCACCGGTGTGGCACAAGATAACTGGTATCAAAACATACAACAGAATGATCCAGATCCTTCAGAGGAGAATGACGATCAAAGTAATCTGTACCTACCGAACTATCTCAAGAGAAGCGGCAAACGTAATTTCTGGAATCATACCCATCACGATAATGGTGGACGAAAGGGTGAGACTTCATTCTAAGAAGAAAAGAGGGGAGGAAATAAACGAAGCAACCAAAAAAAAAAACAGGAAAAGCAAACTCAATAGCCATGTGGCAGGAAGAATGGGAAAACACAGTAGAAACAGCACAGTGGACAAAGGTTCTCATCCCAAGATTAGATCCCTCGTTAAAATGCGCACATCGAAGAACGGATTACTACCTAACTCAGTTTCTAAGTGGGCATGGCTCATTTAGAAACTACACAAATAGAATTGGAAAAGCCAGCAACCCAAACTGCATGTACTGTGGAGAAATCGACACACCAGAACACACAGTCTTCTCATGCACTAGGTGGATACATGACAGGGAGACAATCACAGACCTTCCACCACAAAACATCGTGGTAAAAATGACCGAAAATCAAGAAGGATGGAACAAAATAAATAACTGATAACAACAGAAAAAATCTCAAAGCACAAAGTCCCCACCCCGATGAAATGCCGGCAGGTGGTCTCGGGGTGGAAACGAGGACAATACAGAGATACGGGGGTTTTTTAGTGGGTATTTGAATTCGTGAGTCCCACACTACCCTTGCCCAATATCCTGCAAGGGTGTGCGTAAAGGCATTTTTCCTCCAAAAAAAAAAGTTAGGTTTCACTCCTAGGAGCTGTAAGACCTTGCCGTGGTGGAGTGGCTCAGTAGCTCCCTGTTCTCGCGTCCATCGGGACGGAAATGGGTTGTGAAGCCGACAAACAGCTTAATATGATTGGTGGGGTACTGGTGTTGTCACTGATGTCGAATAGGTGACACCAACAAATACCAGTTCAAGAAAATCTGCCCAGCTAACAAAAGCAAGCTAACAAGTCCGACCCTGAAATGGGAGGGCGAATGGCGAGTTCCCGGCGCCATAAAATGTGGAACATTTTGGCTAAGAGAAGGAAAACCCTGACAAAAAACCGGGATGGAGCACACCAGCCTTAAAAAAAAC